GCGGGTTCTGCTGCGGGTCCTGCACCGCCGGGAGCGGCATTCCGGGCTTAGGGAAGCTGCCCAGGTCTGGAGACCCCTAAGGTCGTTCCCCTTGACCAGGGGGGTGGCACCGAGTCCAGAAGGGGGCCTCCTGTTCGGGACTACCTCGGAGGGACACGTCTTCCCGCGCCCCTCTTTAAGAGGAAGGACCTAGAAGGGACCAGCTCAGGGACTGGAGTCCTGAGTGGGCAGCGCTGGACTTCTGCCACTCGGGAGGCTAGTGTAACCGGTCCGTCCCGGGGCGAGCTGGCCAGGACGAGGAGTGTGGGCTCCCAACCAGCTGGGCGGCAAAGAAGTGTCCACCCACCCGCTCAGGCCCGCCCTACGCGAGGCGTGGAAAGGTTCCGAGGACTGAGAAGGGCTCTGGCTGAAGCTGGGACAGCTGTGCGCAGCTTGGAGCGCCCCCCCCCCCCAGCCTTCTCATTCGCCCAGAATCTTGCGGGGCCAGCAGCTTCAGGCCGATTTGTATGGGCAGGCAGGTGTCTACACCCGCAGCCCAGCGCACCCCACCCCATCCCTGGTATCAGCTGAGAGTAGCTCTGCCTCCAGTCGGGACTGGAGGGTAGGCGCTTTCACGCTTCATCTCTCTGCTCTTATGTAATCCCAGAAGCTACAGGGGTTCCTAAACTAAACAGCAGGTGCTTGGCTGGTGCCCGGTCTCCACCAGAAGCCAAGGTTGGTGGGCACTCGGCCAACTACCAAATGCCAAGGACTGCCCAGGAGTACCTGTCCCCAGCAGTGGCCAGCCCCAGCCAGGGCCTGCAGTCTGGGAATCCCGCTCTCTCTCTCCACATCTGAGGCCTCCCCCGTCACCTCCCCTCCTCCCCAGGTGCTGTCACTAACCCTGCCCAGTAAGGAGCTGCTGGGGCCGATGGTCATGGGGGACCCTGGTAGAGAGGAGTATAAAATCCAGTCTTTTGATGCAGAGACCCAGCAGCTGCTGAAGACAGCACTCAAAGGTGAGCTTGGGGAGCCCTCCTGAGCCTGGGTCTGGAGCTGCAGACACGGGGCCACGGGACAGGACCAGAGGACTGAGCCCTAGCCTGGGAATGTCCAGCCCTCTCTCTCCAATTTCTGTGAATAGGAGTCAGCACCATAACTCTCAAACCAAAAGAGAAGCTACATTCAGGCCAGTATTTGGGAGTGAATCATAGCCTTCCTAGTAGCGTTTACGTGCTCATGAAAGGGGCGTGGGGCAGAGAACACAGTTCCTGCTCTTCAAGTCCTGAAATTGGACCTGGTTTCTGCGCTGCTGCAGCCAGCGCTCTTGAACGTGCAGAGCTGCCTGAGTCGGGACAGAGGATAGAGTGTTCTGCTTGGCAAGGGAGAGAGGGTCATTGTCCTGGACCGAGGCCTCCCGCAGCACTCAGGGCAGAAGCTTGATGTGGTTAACAATTGGCAGTGCCCATCACATGCCACGCTGAGCTTGTGAGGGGGGGGCCCTGCCTGGCCTGCTCATGTCAGGGGTTCATGGGCGTGTGTTATGAGAACACTTGCTCCTGTAAAATTGCTGTCAAAGACACGTAAGTGTTCCTCCCTCAGCCTAGTGCCGCACGATCTGTCCTAGGAAACTAGCATTCTTTCATTGGTCCCTCAGCTGCATGACCTGCCCCGTTGCCTGACTGGGCCGCAGGAGGCTCCGGGCGGAGCTGTGCCTGCTTTCCCACCTCTAAGTGAAATGTAAGCATCTCATGGTTGTGCTCTCCTGTAAACATCGCGTCCTCAGGAGCAGGTGGAGGCAAATGTGCTAATTCAGCAGGTCGAGACTGCCTGCCTGTCTCTACTCCAGATCCAGGTGCCGTGGACTTGGAGAAAGTGGCCAATGTGATTGTGGACCATTCCCTGCAGGACCGCGTGTTCAGCAAGGAAGCAGGACGCATGTGCTATGCCATTATTCAGGTTGGGGAGCGTTGGTGGAGAAGAGGGGAGACACTTGGCTTCAGGCGTGGGCAGAGATGCGAAGGACTTCCCTCAGAGGCAGAGAGCAGAACGAGAGGGTCCTCAGCCATGGCAGCTCAGGTGGGGTTGTGATGGCACTGCCCGCCCCTAATGCCGGCATCCTTCCTCTGGCTCACAGGCAGAGAGCAAGCAAGCAGGCCAGAGTGTCTTCCGGCGTGGACTCCTCAACCGGCTACAGCAGGAGTACCAGGCTCGGGAGCAGCTGCGCGCCCGCTCCCCGCAGGGCTGGGTCTGCTATGTCACCTTTATCTGCAACATCTTTGACTACTTGAGGGTGAGGCCACCGCAGGCACCCTGTGCAGCAGGCAGCCTGTCTCCTGAGGCCACTAAGCCAATGCTTTGACCCCTGCTGTCCCCACAGGTGAACAACATGCCCATGATGGCCCTGGTGAACCCCGTCTATGACTGTCTCTTCCGGCTGGCCCAGCCCGACAGTCTGAGCGAGGAGGAGGAGGTATGTGGCCTTCGCCTGGAAGGCTGTGGAGGTGGGCAGGCTTTAGCTCAGCTCAGAAGACCAGCCCAGTGTCCATGGAGGCTTGAGGCATCACTTCCTGGGGCAAGAGCTGGGGGGTGGGGGCGGGGGCAGTGAAGGCCTGTCAGTACAGGACAAGCTGCCAAGTCTGGAACTGACCCAGAACAGAGAGCAGCCAAAACCTCCTGGCTCAGAGGCTTCCCCCCAGCAGGAAAGCCAACCTAAAAAATGGCGAGAGCTTTGGCAGCTGTGGATACTGCTGGCCAGAAACCAAACCGGGTCAGGCAGCGTGGGGGAGAGGAAGCGGGGATCAGCTGCAGTGTGCAGACAGGGCCTGTGTCTGCCTGGCCCAGATGAAAGACCGTAGGCAAGTCTCTGAACTTGCTTCCTGTCATGTAAGATACGGGTTCTACCCACTGGGTGGTGAGGAGTGGGAAAATGCGTGTCTAGGGCCATGCGGTGTCTGGCACGCAGTGAGAGCTCGGTAAATGGCGGCTCTGTGACAGGCTGGCCCCGCCCGAGGCTCACCTCCCACTGTCCCTGCAGGTGGACTGCCTGGTGCTGCAGCTGCACCGCGTTGGGGAGCAGCTGGAGAAGATGAACAGGCAGCGAATGGATGAGCTCTTTGTCCTGATCCGGGATGGCTTCCTGCTCCCGACCAGCCTCAGCTCCCTGGCCCAGCTGCTGCTGCTGGAGATCATTGAGTTCCGGGCAGCCGGCTGGAAGACGACCCCAGCTGCCCACAAGTATTACTACAGCGAGGTCTCTGACTAGGCCTCCAGATCAGGCTTCCCTCCCAGCAGCACTGGCCTTGCTTCTCCCCACCTCCCCCCTGGCAGCACAGTCTTTGCCTCTCCAAAGACTTTTTCCCTTCCAGCCTTTCAGCAACGCCCGAGAAGTTTCCCACTTATTCAGGGGTTCTGCCCTGAGCATCTCCTCCTCCTGCAGGGGTTGGGGAAAACACTACACAGACATGCCCCCTCCCCTTCCCTCCCCTCAGTCTCTCCCATACCTCCCACCTGGCCTGGGAAGAGAAGGGCAACTCCTAACAACCACTGCACTGTGTAACCACTGGCACCTCAGTTTCCCATCTATAAAATGGGTACCCATAGCCACTGGTAGGATGCTTTGGAATGTCAAGGGGGCAAGGTGCAGAGCACAAGTCACACAGAAACTTTTATACGTTTTGTATAAGGACCACTTTGGAAACAGGCGTATTTCCTCCAGTCGTTTTCATGGGTGGCAGTACTATATCACATGCTACACAGTTCAGGGTGAGAATTTCCTAATAAACCTTTCGGATACTAAAATGCCTCCTTTCATCACCCAAAGGTCCACCCCAAGCAGATGGAAGAGAAGGCTGGATGGGCCCTAAGTTTCTTGGGGGAAATCCAAGTCCATGTATTGCCTCTTTGCAAGGAGATGGGGCAGGGAGAGCGAGTTCTAGCCCACAAAGACTAAAGCAGTAAATATACTGCCCCACCCTTCCTGTGAGACCCGCCCTTAAGGAACTACATCCTTAGCACAGGTATTTTTCAATGTAGCAGCGGCTCACGTGTGTCTTGCAGCAGAGAGCCCTGGGCGGCTCCCGGGCCCCTACCCCGCCTACCACCAGCGGTAGTGGGCCAGGGCACGGTTGGCCTCGGCCATCTTGTGCATGTCGTGCTTCCTCTTGACCACAGGGCCCTGGTTGTGGAAAGCCTGCAGCAGCTCCTGCGACAGCTTCTCCGGCATCAGCGTCCGCCGGTGCTTCTTCTCCCGGCACTCGGTGATCATCCACTTCATGGCCAGGAAGCGCCGGCGCCGGTCGCTCAGTGGCACAGGGACCTGTGTAAGACAGGACGTGGGCACGTTGGCCCAAGAATTAGCCAGGGTTGCAGCCTCCTTCCTCCTCGAGTGCTAAGGAGTGGCCACAGGTTCCCTCTGGGCCAGCCCTCGCAAGGCCTGAGGAGGGGGACCTGTCTTTTCCTCTGAGCTCCCCTCACCCGTGAGCTCAGGGCAGCAGACAGAGGCATTCACTGAGCAAATGCGCATTAAGCGCTGCCCTCTCTACCTGTAAATGGAAGCTCAGCCAAGTTTGTAACAAGCACCAACTGGGAAGAGCCCCACAAGCTGGGTGACTTAGCCAACTCGGATGACAGGTGCCTGAAAATAAGACCCTCTTGTCCAAGAATCATTTGCCAGGCCCCCACTAAGTCCCAGGTATCATGCCGGACCCTAGGGACACAGACAGCAATAAGAAAGTCTCTATGAAGTTTACACTGAAAAAGAAGATGAGAATGCCCTCTTATGACAAGGAAACATAAGTACTATAATGGGGGCACCTAGTTCAGTTCAACAAATGGTGATGAAGCATCAGTTACCAGTCCAGCACTATGCTAGACACGGTGTATAAAGGATGAGATATAAACAGCCTCTCACCATGAGAAACTGACAACACAAGATTTTTTGGGGGGGCCAGGGGCTCCGGAAGAGGACACTTGGATACTTCGCTCCCTTCCATTTTCAGTCATCTTTAACGCTATGGGACTCACATGATCAGATCCCGATTGTCTCTGGCCCCTAGAAAGCTATTCCTCTTGATCCAACTCTGGTCCCTCCCCGCATCTTGTCCCTGCCTGACCACTCACCTGATAGAAACGGCCACCCTTGAGGATGGGTGCCAGCCCAATCACGGGCTCGCAGTTTTTCAAAGCCTGGTGGAAGATGGTGTAGGGGTTGCGTTCAATGGTTGCCTGTTCCTCTGAAGAAGCAGCATGGAACTTCTCGAACTGCTTCCTCTTCACAGCTTCCAGAGTCTGCAACGGGACACAGTGGCAGGGGCTGCCCAGGCTTCCTGGACGGTTTCCCCAGCTGGGCCAGCACCTTGCCCTTTACTCCCATCATCCCGCTCTCCTAGAGCAGTGGTCAGCAAACTGCGGCTCGCGAAAGAGCCACACTCAAGGGGCCAAAGAGCCGCATGTGCCTCGCCAGCTGCAGTTTGCCGACCACTGTCCTAGAGCAATGCCAAAGCTCCTAAATGCCGCCGCTTCTCCTCCACCAGGACGGGAAGAGCCGCTGCGATTTGGGCAGGGAAGGAGAATGGCAGTTGTTCATCTTACAGGGCTTCATGAAAGCCCCAACACACACACACACACACACACAC